TATGTGGTCTATTTTGGAGAATGATCCATGTGCAGCCGAAAAGAATGTATATTCTGGTTTTTGGGGGTGGAATACTCTATAAACATCTATTAAGTCCATGTGTTCCAAAGCTTGGTTCAGTTCTATTATTTCATTGTTGATTTTCTGCCTAGTAGATCTGTCAATTTGTGATAGTGGGGTATTTAAATCCCCCACTACAATTGTATTAGTGCTTATTTGGTTTTTCATGTTACTTAATATTTGTTTTATATAGTTGGGGGCATTTATATTTGGTGCATATATGTTTATGATTGTCAGCTCTTCCTCTTGAATTGTTCCCTTTACAAGGATGTAGTGTCCTTCTTTGTCTCTCTTAATGAGTTTTGGTGAAAGCACATTCTTTTAAAAAATGTATTTTCACCACTTGTTTGTAAGTTTTCTATAGTCACAGTTTCCAGGTCCCTTTGGTCAGCCAGTATAATGGTCTTGTCAGGTCCCCGGCCCATAGAGGCCATCCGAGGCCACTTGATGGGTAAGAAGATGAACTTCCGTCCAGAGAAAGTTGTTTTCATCTACAGACTCTAACTGCACGACGTAATATTTAAATTTCTTTCCTTGGATATAATGCTTAAACAAATTTGAAAAATATTTTAGGATAAAACTCCCCCCCCAAAAAAAAATGCTTCTCTGGAAAGAATTCAGCATAATCCTTAAGATTGGAACGTCCTTGCTTTTTGGCAACTCACCACTTTCTTTGTTGAAGTGGAAGCACAGTTAGCAACAACACAGCCACCCACCAAATGATGGGGTGTGTGGTATTTAAAGCCCCCTCTGTGCCTATCCGCTCTGCTGCCTCCTCAGCCCTTGTGAGGAGCCAGCCATTACAGCTCAGCTCTAGGAGACTGGGACATAGCTCATCTATGTAGAAGCAAACCTCATCCGCAAATAACAGGCCACAGTCCTACACAGGCCTCAGAACCCACAAAGATTCTTAAAAACCCAAATGCTAAGCATTGGGATCTAACATTAGAATCCAATGCTCCATGTTAGAGTCTAGCCTCAAAACAACAGCAAAAAAAGATGATTCCCATATGTTTTCCTGATTTTTAACTGAATTCTCTCCAGTTAGTTTACTTGCACTATTTTTATATAAACACACACACAGGCACACACACACACACACACTCCAGAAAACACTATCATTAAATACTAACTCGTGTCTTTTGGGACTCTGGCCAAAATTTTCTGGTAGAGGGCAGAGCCTATCTTGGCAAAGCCAAGGGACGTGTGGTACAGGGAATAGTCTGACCCCACCCTCACTTGTACACCACATTCCATGCGGTCAGAGAGTAATGTAGTCAGAAATAAACCTGCAGCGACTCTGCCTCACCCTGTCAGAGCGTCCTCCTTAGATGCTGTTTTAACCGATAGACTCCGAGATGAGGAAGAGAACCTGAGAGGGCTGGGGGCTGTTCATCATCTACTCCACAGGCTGAAGCTTTCTCCTGTTGGAGGGATGAGAGCCTGGCCTATTTTTAAACTCTCTGGGGGAGTAGATTCTA